TGTGATATTGAACTTATAAATACAACAGGAAGCAGTAAAAAATTCAGCTTCTGTTGAATTTCGATAGTAAGAAGATTCCCAATACAATGAACAAAATTAGAGGATGATCCATTTAATAAAAAAATTTCAGAGAGGCTTGAATAACAAGAGAATACACATATAGAAACATCACAAAAGAGCAAAACAGCAATTTAGTAGATGTTCAAATCTCCTTCAAACATCTCAAACAAGTTCAGTACTCACATAATGTTTGATATCTGTGGTAAAAAGAACCACATCTGCTTGAAAGTCTTTTGAATTCTATGGATCATTTCTGTTTATCTCCTTCTACTCATACTGGTTTAAAAAAGTTACCATCATTTGAAAGATGTGATCTTGTAATTACCACACACACAGTAAGAAATGTTTTCATTTAATAGTTAAGAAAAATACGTAGCATGATCCAAACAAATGATAATATAAAAATTACCTCTCCTATTTGTAAATGAATTTCTTTTATGGTATTTGACATTGATTCTATAATCTCTTTTATATGAAGAAGGTGTGTTTCTTCAATGTCTTGAAATTTCTGTAAACCAATACAAGCAATTATTCATAATGAAAGTAATTCTTGAAATACTAAACCTTTTAATAATTAAATATACTAAACAAAAAAACAATTTTTTTTCAGATCTTGATCATTGTAATTAGTGTTTAAGAAAGGAAGGTGCAGAATTCAGAGTTACTTTATAATATCCTTTTAGAACCATTATGCAACTTTTTTACTTACTCTTTAAACCTTCATCTATCTTGATTTTTTTTTTTAAAAAAGTCTGACCTATTTCTACCAAAAGAAAATAGAGTTGGAGGGTGTTTAAAAAAAATATATATATCTTTTTTCCGTAACTGAAGAGTTTTGGTTTTCCATCTAAGCCCAGAAATCCTATTTCTGGATCTGTTTTGCACCTCCTCCTCATCACCCTCTCTTCCTGCTCACAATATACACATGCTTTCTCTTTCTCTAGTTAAATCTACATCCTTTGCTTGTTTAAATGCAATTCATTTGTTTGATCTTTAAACTCCCTGTATAAAAACTTTGTAGTTCGTCTGGAATTTGTCCTCCTGTTCCATCTTACCCAGGCTTCCACCTGACACCCATTTTAAAACTATTTCCAACATCTCTAATGGCCCCTCCCTAGCCAAAGATCAGAACTAAACATGTCCTCATCCTCCCCAACAGTCAACCATAGTCATCTTGAAATCTGTGTTTACTCCTGCTGTCCTAGTTCTCTTCCTACTTCTGTAACTGTCCAAACTTTGGAGCACCACTTAATCCTCTCTCCAATTTTTGCAGGGTTCTCTGAAGACCTGAAAATATGTAAAAAGACCTGAAAAATATGTAAAAATTTATGCAACAGGATTGGTGGAGTTTAACTAAGGAAAGAGGACAGCTAAGTGAGGACATTACTACATGATTACCTAGAATAAAGCCACAGCAATTCAAGGTGTTCACATCCTCAGAAAAATTTTATCTGAACAGCCTAAGACAGATTTAAGTTAAGCCAACTGTTTTTGCACTGAAACAGCTGAGAATGGTCACACTGCTCATTTATTTTGTCTTCAGAATTAGTATATTTCAAGTGAAATGTACTCCAAATTAAAATAATCTAGGGTGCGATTGATTCAGAAGTGGGCTTCCACATATTCACGAGTGTTATTTTCCCTACCGCATCATCTTTAAAGTAGCCCCCCTGGAATCAAACTGCAGATGCAGCTATACCATTATACTTAAAACAAATTCCACAGACAGGACTTATACTGGCAGAATTCCAGTTTTCATTTCCAATATGGATAGCTGTGGAAGGTATTAGAGTTTCCAGATGTCCATTGTCACATTAAGTGAAAATTTAAATTTTGAGTAAAGGGGCTGTTGCAGTTAAGGAACTAAGGTTATTTATGCAAGTGTGGTTTGTAGTGAGAGATAAATTTGTATCATTTTTGTATTGAAAACAAAACAAATAGCAGAAAAGCATGGTCGCATTTTCCCAGTTGTAACATCTGGTACAGCAAATTTTTTTTTTTTCTCCTCTATCTCAGCCTGGTTTAAATAACTAATGCATACCTAATAACACAAATAAAGCTGAACAAAAAGCATCTTCATATTCTGTCTCTAGATACAAGATAACTGTTACGTTTTTCATTCTTTTGTTGTAGTGAATTGTTCAAATGAAGTTTTTTTTAAGATATTATGAAAAGCCCAGCTAATTTTCTTGCTGAAAGCCCCTACACTTTCCTTCATTAATTCACTGACAAAATCAATTTCAAATACTCTTCATGTTTATCTTCTGTCAGTTCTAAACAAGAACTCCTTTTCATTACTCACAGCTTTCTTGATCATTGGAGACAAGTTTGGAGTGCAATTTTAGCAAGGTCAGTTTATTAAAGTCATATTTGTTAAGTTTTTTCTTATTGTTTCAGAGAGCAATAAGTCAACTGCTATAAACACAGTCTCTTTCCTGTAAGGTAAGGAATAAACAACAGACAGCTTTTGTGAGACTAAATAAAGATTTAAAGCAACCTGACTGAACTGGCTCTGAAGTGGATCAGAAGCATTCACAGGATCTATTTCAGTGGGGGTTCAGTAACTTCCAGAGCAAGGTAAGTAACAAACAGGGCAGGAACATCTGGATCTATCTAGAATAACTGAAGAGCTGCCACACTTGTATATGGGTTGAAACAAATCAATGGAACAGTTCGGTATTTTCTGGTATTACTTGATTTCTTTGTATCAAAAGGTGGGGTCTACAGCAAAAGTCAGTTTGCACTACAATTTATACATACCACACAATGATGGAACATTTACTGAACAACTGCAATAGTTACATTAACAGGAACACTACAGAAAAGTTACCATTTTGGGTAACAGCAGTATGTGTTTACATGTCGGTTTGCTTCCACCTTATTTGTGGAAACTCTCCAGGAGGAATGTTACACTTCAATGGTAAAGATTCTTTTGTTACTATTATACTTGTTTCTAAGAATTGTTTTAAGATACATTTAAGTTTAAAAATGTTGCCTAGTCCCAAAATTCTCAAGTGACTGGAATCACACATGCCAATGCCAATCCCAATCAAATTGCCTAGGGGTAACTGATACACAAATATTTTAAGTTACAGCGAGAGAGACAAACTGCTAAGGCAACAGATGTAAATGTATAAGGTGGACACACATTAAAGCAAGCCCAGGCCAGGTGTCACACACTAAGTCAGCTTAAAGACACAAGTCTCTACCCTTAGTACCACATTGCCTCTTCCTTTGCGCCAACACAAATGCTTGTGTGATCTCTCAATAAACCAGACCCCAGGTCTCTTCTGGGTTAAAGCCAACCTTCCTTAATACATTAGTTTTAGTTGGATTAGTTCTACAAGGTAGTTCCTCGAACAAATACTTGACAAAGGAAGAAACATGGAAAGAGAACTGCTGGTTTTGACAATACTAATTTAAAACATATATTGAAAATACAGCTTCACACACCAGAGAGAAGTACAACAGGCCTTATAACCCAGACCATGGTACCCATTAATTTTCTTGGTGATATTTTTTTTTTTAAATAAAGCCTTTTTATACCACTGAATAACTGCAGTCATCACTGTCTTACACTACACAACAACAAAAAAGCATTTAAAGAGTCATATATTTTTTAAATGAGGGAAAAATAATGTACTTAACTAAATTTAACTCAAACTGAAAAGAAAAGCATAGGGAGTACAGCTCCTCCAACCAGAACCTAGTTAGGATACTTGCACAAAAAGATGCCTACTGTGAACTTCTCAACAAAAGGATGTCAAGACTCTTAATGTAACAGTCACATTAAAGGCAGAATTTCACAGTAGCATGCCTGAGTACTTCCTTGTCACAAATGCCTGGACTGGAGGGGGTGGGTGGGAGGGAAGAGTTCTAGTATGCGATATATTTGGTACCCTTTCTGTAACAGCTGTGTTGAGTATTATTCAGAGATGAACTAGATCAAGTTCTAACGAAGTTTTCAAAGTAGAAAAGCAGTTTATAGTTTAGGACAGGGCAGCTTTTTACATGTCAGCCTACATAATCCCCATACTGTAAAACCTTAATTTCCAAGGAGTTAAGGAAAACCCTAACACTTTTCCACTTCTACATTAATAATACAAGTATGACTGAATCTCCCTAATAATTCCATCTATGCCTAAAAATTAATCTTTGAAACTAAGGAAGAGAGCAAAGACTTCAACCAAAAAGTAAATTCCTATCTTGTAAAAGCTTTACTAAACCAAGAAACATATACAAATAAATATGCCAACCAGTCCTCAACTAAATATTACTACTAAAAGCAGAAACAGCGAGGTTTGCTTTTTGAAATCTGGGGCAGTGGAAAAGTCTGATATCAACATTTGAAAAAGAAACTTTAAAACATAACAAGCAGCAGCATGTGTAATCATACAGAGAACTTAATATCCTCCGAAATACAGATTAAAACATCTTAAAAAAAAAAAAACAAAACAAAATTTGAATAGATGTAGGGGCTTTTGACCACCTCAGATAAACCCTGGAATGACACTTTAACAAGCTGTTACTAAGTGTTTTGCCAGAATGATAATAAAAAACCATGATGGATCCCAGTTTTAAAACTCCTATGAATGAGTTCTGGCTATCCAGCAATTCACAGGATTTCCCGCACGATAACAATGCATCTACAATACTTCCAAAAGTTCATTTTGTTTTCTTCCTAAAAATTTCTTCAAAAAGTCTTTCTAGAGTGCTAGTGTTCAACTGTGTCATTCAAAAACACTGCCATCACAGCATACATGACCAATGTTTGCCCTTCAAACATATTACTTCTGACATTATTGGTCATATCAATTTCCAATGGAGATCATTCTATCTTGAACCAATTTTTCAAAAGCTTTGATTTCAGATATCTTCATAGAGATAAAATAGAACATATTAATCTATCTTAAAGGTAACTCATTTAATATAACACTTACCTGTGCAGTTTCTGTCATTTTCTGTTCAAAAACAGATTTAACCACAGCATATTTCTCCACATATAGTTTATAGGTATCTGTAGCTTTTTTTGATTTAACTGCTGCCTATAGATTAAGTACAAAAAAAAAAAAAGCATCAAATGTTTCACATCCAGTCTGATCCAAGGCTTTTAAAGTTACTATTAAAAGAAAGCCTAGGATGACCTATAAAAATATTCAGGGGCATATCAAAACAGTGAAATGTCATAACAAAATTTCACCACCAAATAACTCTGCTTCAAGCCATTACAGATTTCTATTTAAAGGTAGATATATAACCACATAAAAAGGTAACAAAGCAATTACCTCATTTAAATCCCTTCCCCGTAACAGCAATGACTAACTTATACTTGTTTTGAAATAAATATTTTAAGATTTGTATTGCTGAAGGCAACTAATTAGCTCATGTCAAATATTTAGATCTGCAACAGAAAACCAGGAAGAAAGCAGGGTTGGAATACAGAGCAAACAGTTATTAGCGCAATTCTGAAAGTTAATGGTAAAAAAGGTGGCACAGTTCTCTGTTAGAAGCGAAAGAAAAATATAAGGGAAAACACATTCAAAAGTACAGGTGTTAAATCAATGGAAATTTTAAGATTAAGAGATATTTGAAAGTGAAGTTAATGCAGAACATACGGATGGCCAGATTTATGCTGCTCAGAGTTGTTTATAATAGTCCTTTTTGGCTTTATAATTTATTGATTTGTTTCATTATTTGTTGCTAATAAACCAAAATGTTCTTTTTGTGGGCTTAATAGTCTTAAAAGACAAAAAGAAATACAGGAGAATCCCAATATTACACGGACAAAACTGAATGACTGATTGTTTTTGGTAGATAAAAAGTTATTTTCAAAGTTTACAGCATGACAAACGAGATGAAGTTTTGAAAAACTTTGATATTCTTGCTATTTCCAAGTTAAAAGCCAATTAAAATTAAAATTATTTGCCTTGAACATCAGCTTTTTTCTAGCTTGTGTTCAACATGCCTACTTTATCTCATTGAAATTTCCCATCAGTTGTAACTCAAAAGTATTTCTGAATTATTAATGACATCAGTAAAGACAGTTGTATATTTACTATTTGTTCTAGATCCGAATAGCTTTCCTCCCCTCTTTCAAATGAATTTCACCTGTCCCACAGTAAAAATGAAAACTATTTCTCACTTGCAATGACTTGTAAAGCTGAGCACTATCTATAACTTTCAAACAAATTAATATAAAAGATGCCCTCTGGAAAGATATAGTTATATTCTGCGATTTCCAAGAGAAAAATAACTGAAAATCATGAGTAACAGTATAGCATTAGGACTTGTTCACCTGGGGAAACGTCAACCAGGACTTCAAATGAAGAGGAATCAAAGCTACAGTTCCATTTTTCCAGTTAGAGAAAGCTTAAGCCGATCTTGCTCATATAGTCCTCTAAACCCAGCATAACAAAGCCTGAAAATACTTCACTGTATGAAGAATATGGATCCTTCAGGCATTAAGGATGGCATGACAGGATGTATCAAACCCATCAGTTACTTACTCTGAATTTTACTTCATGATTCTCACTTTTGCACATTCACATAGGGGAATTCCCAAACACCATTTACTATACTAAAAGTAAAAGGTGCTCTATGAACACCTGGTTTTAAAAAGAATTAAGGTTGCTTTTGCAATAAGATGATTCCAAACTTAATCACTGAAAAGGAAGGAAATGTCAAGTTAAAAGACTTAAAATAAGTCTTTTTGTGAAGCATTACGTAATTGAACCACATATGCATGGGATTGACACAAACAAAACATTCTGTCTCTTGTAATCATGTTTAACCATGAGCAGAATTGTGTTATGTGCTGAAGCATCTACAAAAAAAACTCATCAGCAAGACAGACAAAATAATAAAGCACACAAACATTGTATGATTAACTAGTAATCTCTTCTGAAAACACTATGTGTCTATTCTCAGGTGCAGCAATTGCTAGAACTCTATTTAGCAGATTTACAGTAACTAAAAGAATAAGTATCAGTCAAGAATTTTTTTTTTTTGTTAAGTCACTATTGAGAAGTTAACATATCGGTGAACAATAGGAAATTATTACACAAGTTAACACTAACTTACAGCTTCAATGAAAACTGCAAGCTCTCAGATACCTCCTCAGATTCTTCAATAAAGCATTTCTCCAAATATATGGCTTTGTGATAAGCTCTTAGCATACTGGTGCAGATCCCCTGCTTTCTGATAAAGCAGCTATTCTGATTTTGCTAAAAACATTTTATGTTATGCTAAAAGTAATAAACCTATTCTCTGCCAAAAGAAAAACAAATTAATACAATCTTTGTCACCATTTCTGAAATTACAAGTGTAAATTCGAATAAAGACATGACTAAAGAGATGTGATGGTCACAGTTACTGGCTCCCACTGGAAACATTTTAGAAGTATTAGCTGAGCATTCAACTATGGCCTAATAGTTCAAACAAAAATATCTAGGGAAGATGCATAAAACAGAAAAAAAATGGCCTTCAGCCTATAGTGCTGCTTCTTTCTCCCTTCTGCATGTAGACATTAGTCAGACTGAAGATTTTTTTTGTTTCCAACTGGACAAGGGAATGCAAAGTTACATCTTAAAAGCAAGCCTTGCATCAAGTCAACTTTTCCTACTGAAAAATTTCAATTTACAAGAATTCAGAAGAAACTATACTTTGAATGAACTGGCAGGAAAACATCTGCCATCCCACATACTTCTGATTCATGTCTAGAACCCAACACTGACTGTCATTTGAGGCAGAAGCTAGAAAAAAGCTAAATTTATATTAAAGATAAAAGAATCTGAACATGGTCAACAGGATCACTTTCGTCATCAGTGACAAGACAATAACCAACTCTATCTGCTCCACCAAGACAGCAGTACAAAAGGCACTAAGACCATTCTAACAAGAACAGAGCCCTACACAGATCAGATAACTGAAATGGAAATAGGCAGAGGTATCGAGATTTAAGAAGAGAAGACATCATTAGAGACAGGGAAACGACCTCTTTCCTCTACTGCTTTGTTTCCTGAAAACCAGAAAAAGTCACAGGGTTGGCACCAGGTCGAGGGAGGTGATCTTTCCCCTCTACTCAGCACTACTGAAGCCACACCTGGAGTATTGTGTCCAGTTCTGGGCTCCCAAATACAAGAGAACAGAATGTCAGTTGGAAGGGACCTACAACAATCATCTAGTCCAACTGCCTAACCAATTCAGGGCTGACCAAAAGTTAAAGCATGTTATTAAGGGCATTGTCCAAATGCCTCAAACACTGACAGGCTTGGGGCATCG